TTTTTTTTGTTTTTTTTTGTGTTTTTTTTTTTTTTTTTTTTTTTTTTGCATAAAAGCAAAGAAGGGCAGATGTATCTGAAACGTGCTTCTAACCAAATGGGACATCTGCAACCCATTAGGGGGTGTCCTGAAGAGGGAAAGTGAGAGGGGAGGCTCGGGCAGAAACCTGCTCTGCAGAAACGCAAGTGAGAAGATGTGTGCCGACCCGTCTTGTCAGGATCTGAGGGCACCGAGGTTCTAAGAGAGGCTGCTTTTCCAGGGGTGAACTTACATCTCTGCCAAATAATCCGGTTCCCTTTTTTTTCTTTTTTTTCTTTCCTTCCGTCATGTTATCTTTGAAACACCAGTGCCTTCTCTTTACTCAAGTGTGTACCTCCATGTTTTACTATTTAACACTTGGCAGCCGCCTCGCGGAAAGAGAACACCCTCTCCTCTTCGGATGTGCGGGCAGTCCTTCCCCGACGCGCACAGGGAGCGGTCCGTGCCCTGACTCGGCTTCTCACGCTCCCACAGAACAAAGCAGAGCTGTCACCACGGGCATGACTTACAGGTGACTCACTGGCTGTCACGTGCCCTGTTTCAGACTCCCAGGAAAACCACTAACTTTTATTAATGTGTGTGTGTGTGGCAAAGGCTGTCGTTGCAAAATACCCACAGAGGTGAAAAGGATTCCGGGGCGGGGGGGTAAAGGGGGGTGTGATCCTAGAATGGACATTACCAAAGTTACTGGCCCTGGCAGGTTTGGCTCAGTGGTTACAGCGTCGGCCCGAGGACTGAAGGGTCCCGGGTTTGATTCCAATGGTCAAGGGCACGTATCTCGGTTGCAGGCTCCATCCTGGGCCCTGGTCGGGGCGCATGCAGGAGGCAACCGGTCAATGTGTGTGTGTCTCTCTCCCTTCCACTCTCTCTGAAAAGCAATGGACAAAATATCCTCTGGTGGAGATTGAAAAAAGTCACTGGGTTTTTATTAACATACAGGATCTACGTAGGCCCAGGGCTTGCATTTGGTCCCCTGACGGCAGAGGGTACCTGCCACTGATGCCGACATGTTGCATCGCTGACAAGACACACTCAGGGAAGTTTAGCATCAGGCTTGGGTGTGTTTTCAGTTCGGGATTTACAACTATGCCCATCATTCTTCCTCGGACAGCCGTCCCCTCCTTGGTTTCGGCAATCTTGGCTGCTGAAACCCGAAACGCAGGGCACAGTGCACTCCCCTCTGGGTAGCAGGATCTGCAGGCGTTTTACTCTCTTCAACACCTGGCCCTGTGTGAGAGGTGGAGGGACAGGAACCGTTTTCTGCCACCAAAACCCTACATGCTACCTTTGGAATGGCCTCATCTCCTCTCTCTCTCTCAAGAGGGAATAATAGCCCTGGGGCTAGAGGGAAAAAACTGGGACACCTGGGCCAGGTCCGAGGCAGGCCAGCTGCGCCCCCAGCAGGCAGCTGTGGTGGGGGTGGGGTGGGGGGAGTGCAGCCTTGGCCCCAAATGCTGCTTAGTCAGGCTCCACTGCCTAGCTGCGCGGCAGATGTGCCCAGACCTGCCACCACCACCAGGTGTCTGTGTCTGGGCGGGGAGGTGACGGAGCAAAATGTGACTCTTGTCTCCTGGTGTTTCCAGACACTGTCCTCGGAGGAATGCGCAGGACTCAGGCGAGGCCACCTCAGAAGGCCTGTGACATCAGTGGCTCTCCACCCACCCTGTCCGGTCAAAAGCCCTGCCCCAGTGGCTCTCACAAGGCCTTCCTCCCAACAGCCCCAGGGCTGGCTCCTCTCCTAGGCCACCGATGGGCTCAGGTGGAAGCCACTACCCACTGGCCCTGCTGTAATACACCGTTCCCATCAGCAGTGCCCAAACCTCTAGAGCTAAAGGTATTCTGTTTTTCTTTTTAACACAATGATCCCATGATTAAAAAATACTTTTAATTTAAAAAAAATTTTTTTTCAAGCTCATTTGTTCCCCTGGGGAAGAATTTCTTGGGAGAGTTAAGTTTCTCCCATAATTCCATATTTACCAGAATTATGAACAGCTCCAGGGAGTCTTACCAGGGTTTAAATATAGGGAAAGTTTACCAGCCTATTAACGGACTCTGAATCCAGCACAACAAGGCTGCTAATTTCTGGGTGGCTTTTGAGAATTCATTGTTTTATTTCTTTTTATTTATTATTATTCCTATTATTTTAATCCTTACCTGAGGACATTTTTTTTCCCCATTGCTTTTCAGAGAGAGAAAGAAACATCGGTGTGAGAGAGGCATGTCAATTGGTTGCCTCCCGCACACGCCCCGACCGCAGGTGGGGAATCGAACCTGCAACCAAGGTACGTGCCCTTGGCCAGAACCAAACCCGGGACCCTTCAGTCCGTGGGCCGATGCTCCAACTGGCCAGGGCTATTTTAAATTTCTTTAATTAAAAAAAATTTCTTTTTCAATTGCAGTTTGTTCACTATTATTCTGTATGAGTTTCAGATGCACAGCATGGCGGTTGGACAATCGTGTACTTTACAAAGTGGTCCCCCTGACAGTTTAAGTCCCCACCTGGCCCCAATACGTAGAGATTATCAGATTGCTGACTGTGTTCCCTGCGCTGTAATTTACTTCTCTGCGACTATCCCGTAGAGTCATTTGGAAGCTCAGCAGGGCCGTGAACAGTCCTCCTCCAGGAGCGATACTCTCTCCACAAATATTTATCACACACCTACTATATCTATAACATACTGTAAGTCCAGGCCTCGAGAAGACATCACTAGATCCATAGCTGAGGGTGTGAACGAACAGCACACTGGCCAGATTCAGCCCGCAAAACAGACTTCGTCTGACTCACAGCGTATCTATCAAAAATTCACACTAGTGGCCAACTTCTTTAGTATCTATCAGGATATTTCTAGCTCCTCTTGAAAACTCGGGAAATCTGGCAAAACAGAGCCCACATTCCCGGCTGACGACAAGCAGAGTAATGGCTACCCGCTCCAGACAGGCACCGACTCTCCGTTCACACGGTCCCCCCAAACCTGGTCAGCCCCTGGGCATCTGCTGTGGTTTTTTGGGATGGGCAGGCCCCGCGCACCCACCCTGGGAAACAGAGTGATCCCAGCAAGACTCTCATCTCCGATGAGCTGCTTTGTGCCTCCCCAAGAACAGATCACAGTGATTTTCTGATTCTGGGTCTTCTCAACGTTTCCCCTCCTCCCCCCCCCCCTTTTTCATAAATATATATTTTTAAATCCTTAGTGTATTGCAAAGTTAGAAAAGACATTTTTAGTTTCAGTGCCCACTACCCCGAGGAACTCGTCACAGAAGGAACGCAGCAAGGCCGAGACGCGCAGAAGCAGGAGGTGAGGGCGACAAGAGCAGGGTGGCACTCGGGGACGCCCCCTCTGCCCAGATGGAGAAGCTGAGGCCCAGAGAAGGGAAAAGCCACACCCGGGTCCCAACACTGACCAGCAGGAGAACCGAAGCGTGTCCTCGATGTTCCGTACCCAGCTGGTGGCGTGTTTTTTTGCCCCATACACAGGGGTGGTTTCTCCGTCCCATTTTCTGCTTACACGTTTCCAAGGGGTGACAAGAAGTCCGTCAGATCTGGGAAGAAACGCAAGGAATGACTTTAGTCACATCTAAGTGAGCCTGCAGACGATTGACTGGCAATTCTCACCTAAACCTACCAGTCCCCTCTATGGGGGTCGACACTGTCACACTGGAAGAATTCTCAATCCCGATAGAGTGTTGGGAGGGGCAGCCTGTTTTCATGCTCCCCAATTACGTATCGCCAAAAATCTCCCCCGTACGTGTCACCAGGAACAGCGCGAAACAGGTTCACCCCGGTATCTGTTGCTAGTGGGGAGTTTCACTGAGACAAATCTAATTCGTCTGCAGCAAACGCAAAGCGACTGACCAAAACCCTCAATAGGACACATTAAAGGTATGTATGTGGGCCAATCCCGGGGACTTAAGACATTTTGGTGTATTTATAATGAGCATATTACGGCCGTTCAATAATCCTGTGACCAAGAGCTCTTCCGGTAGCAAATTTAAATTAATCCCAAAAAATATCAGTTTTCCGTGCAGCGGAAAGGAAGGGAGGGAAGACAGCAAGTGTCTTATGTGGCCCTACCCACCTGTCCATGGGTTAGTTTCATGCACGATTTTAATTTTTTTTTCTAAATATGTCCATATATATATATTATTGATTTCAGAGAGGGAAAGGGAGAAGGTGAGAGAGAGAGAGAGAGAACCGTCAATGACGAGAGAGTCATGGACCGGCTGCCTTCTGCCGCCGGGTACTGGGCATCGAGCCTGCAGCAACCCGGGCCTGTGCCCGCCCGGGACTCGAACCCGTGACCTCCTGGTTCCTGGGCCGACGCTCAGCCTGTGCACCGCGCCGGCCGGGCTCATGTCCCCTTTTAAACATGAGACCCTGAGGCCAGAAGCCAACTCCTCAGCCAGCGTCCCGCTGCTGGGGACCTGCGGCCAAGGCACCCTAACTCCAGACCTGGGCTTTGTCGGCCACGACTCTCAGCACAGGCGCCCTGAGGCGAGAGCGGGGCCCAGGACGCGGGACCGGGACACCCCGGCTGGGGGACCAGCGAGACCCGGGGGCGGCAGACACAAGCGCCGGGGCGCCAGGAGAGGCCAAAGCTCAGGAGTGCGGAGCGGAGGGGGCGCAGGGACGGCTTCAGGGAGGCGGTGACATGAGGGGGAAGCTTCGAGGGGTGCGCGGTGTTGCAAGGGCAGGGGACAGG